TATCTATCTATCTATCTATCTATCTATCTATCTATCTATCTATCTATCTATTCATTCTAGGGGACGTGGTGGCTCAGTGGCTAAGACACTGAGCTTGTCGATTGGAAAGGTCGGCAATTTGGCGGTTCGAATCCCTAGCACCACGTCACGGAGTGAGCTCCTGTTACTTGTCCCAGCTTCTGCCAATGTAGCAGTTCAAAAGCATGTAAAAAATGCAAGTAGAAAAATAGGGGCTACTTTGGTGGGAAGATAATAGCATTCCTTGTGCCTTTGGCATTGAGCCATGCCGGCCACATGACCACAGCGACGTCTTCGGACAGTGCTGGCTCTTTGATTTTGTAATGGAGATGAGCACCGCCCGCTAGAGCCGGAAACGATTAGCACCTATGTGCGAGGGGAACATTTACTTTTACCTTTATCTATCATCTATCTACTATCTCTATCTCACCTATGTATATGTACCATATATGTATATGTGAGAAAAACAATATAATGGAGTCTAAAAAAGAATAAAGGACATAGTTACAGAAACAAATAAAAAATAAAATACTTCATCCTAAGTAATGGTACAATGTATTGCACAAATGGTAGCACAGACCTGGGTGACTTGAGAACTTATTTTCAAGTCCTTGCGCAAGAATAGCAGCCTTAAATAGAAATCATACTTTCTACCTGGAAGTTTTTTTTTTCAAGACAGCGTTTTTACTTATTTATTAAATTAAGTTGCTGCTTCTCCCACCATGGGGCTACTCTAGGTGGCTTACAATAATATAAATATCCATGTAAGCCGCCTTGGGTCACCTTGAATTGCGAGTAGGTGGCAATATAAATTTTCTAAAATAAATAAATACAATAAAATAAGTAAACTCTACTCTAGATGGCTTACAATAATATAAATATCCATGTAAGCCACCTTGGGTCACCTTGAATTGCGAGTAGGTGGCAGTATAAATTTTCTAAAATAAATAAATACAATAAAATAAGTAAAGGAAGAAAAATGAAAGAAGTGTAAACAGAGGTAAAATAATAGAACAATAGAATAAACAACGACCAAGGAACATAACAAGATTAAATGCATCAATAAAAATAATGGGTGAAGAGCAGGGAGGAGGTGGGGGAGTCTGCCATCAATCTAGCAGCCACCTCCAGTGTGGAATTCCTCCATTTGGTCTCCAGGCCAACCTGTATGTATGTAAGGGTCTGTCTAGATTCCTTGCATAAGGACCAGTGTACAAATAGTCCTCAGCTTACAACAGTTCATTTAGCGACCGTTCAAAGTTACAACGGCAGCGTGATGATCCCGGGCACGGCACAAAAGCAACGAAGTCACAAAAATAGGTAAAGTCTCTTTAATTCCTCCAACTTGGCCTCCAATGTCCAATTATCATCGGCTGGAAAAAAACACCTCTCTCAAGAACAGTTTTTAAAGGGAAGAAATTCCGTCCAAACCCAAAGTACATCTAAATTATAAATTAAAACCAACACAAACCACACTGCAGCAATTAATGAGAAAGGGCAGGATAAGGGATTGGAGACATAAAAAGATAACGAAATACACATATTTGGGAGGACGCCAGAACTCAGATAAGACTTGACAAACCAAAATAATTTCACGCTTTGCTTCCAGCAACTTTACCATGCACAGTTTGCCCTTTTAAACAGTCTTCCCACTGCAGCCCATGAAGGGGATCAGGGCCCTTTTCTCCCCCGTAAACCATGCAATTCACGTTGCTCCCTTATCCATTCTTCCCTCTGTGCCCTAGGATAAAGAGAGGGTGAGCCTGGATCTTCGTCTGAATGCCCAGCCGGACTGTGCCCTTCCCCAGTTTCCTCCACAGCCACTAGATCCACACTCCCACTCCCTGTCAGCTGTTCCAGCTCTCCCTTGGAATCAGATTCCAACAGGGAGGGACATGACAGGCAGTGAAAAAAGTGATTTATGACCATTTTTCACATACGCAACCATTGCAGCCTCCCCATGATCACAAGATCAAAAATGCAGGTGCTTGGCCAATGAATGACTCATGTTTATGATAGTTGCAGTGTTCCAGGGTCACGTGATCTCCTTTGATGACCTTCTGACAAGCAAACAGGAAGAACCAGATTCCCTTAAGAACAACATTAGTGATTTAACAACTGCAGTGATTCACTCAGCCACTGTGGCGAGAAAGGTGTTAAATTGGGGCAAAATTCATTAATGTGTGTCTCAGCAACATAAATTTTGGGCTCGGTTGTGGTTGTAAGTTGAGGAGTATCTGTAGTAGTATATATAACTTATTGCAGGGATGGGCTGCTACTGGTTTGCACTGGTTCAACAGAACCGGATGTTAATTTTACGTCTGGTTCGCCAAACCGGTAGTAGTGATCTGGCTGGCTCCGCCCAACCTGCTCCATCCCTCCCAGGAGTCTCCATGTGGCCCATTTTGGAAATAAGTGCAGGGCCCACACAGAAGCTCAGGGAGGGCAAAAACAAAATGGTCTCCTGGAGGCTCCAGAAGGCCAAAAACAGGCCCGTTTTTGGTCTCCACAGAGCCTCTGGAGCCCGGGATGGCTGTTTTTGCTGCCCCGGAGGCTCGATGAAAGCCTCTGGAGCCCGGGGAGGATAAAAATGCCCCCCCCACCATCGTGGTGCAGGAGGCCAACTAGGCCACGCCCTCCCAGCAACCAGGCAGAGAACCGGTTGCTAAATTTTTTGAAGCCCACCCCTGGCCTATTGAACTGTCACCATATGGACATAACCGAAGACGCATAGGAGTTTCTTCAAAACAGACCCTTAAAATTGGGCTGAGATGGCATGATCTAGGTCTTGTCTACCATACAATGTCATTTGAACTTCTCCATCTCAGCACTGGCCTTCTGGCACAGTATCTTCATAGAGGTTCATATGGCTCTCATCCTGATCAAATTTAAATATTAACTCTGAAATGTTGGCTTTTTTTCCCAGGTCATGAGCTGGGATGGGTTTATCTGTTAATAGATGATTCAGAGTTTTGATCCCTTTAAGGTGGAGAATCCCATCTCTTTTTCCTAAAAATCCACGTCACTGTTTTATAGAAAATAGAATTCTTTATTGGCCAAGTATGATTGGACACACAAGGAATTTGTCTCTTATGCATATGCTCTCATTTTTTACATAAAAGCTGTAAGTGATAAATCATTATCATAGTCATCCTAAAAATACGTTCCTCCTAAATCATAAGATACTTAGTGATAGTCACAGGATATTAAATAAGCAATGAGCATAAATCGTACTAGAAAACTAAATAAAACAATATAAATCGTAAAGAGTTATAGTCATAAGCAGAAAGGAAATAGGTAAATAGGAAAGCTGAGAAGAAGAATAGTAATGCAGACTTAATAAATGGTTTGACAGTGTTGTGGGAATTAGTTGTTTAGCAGAGGAATGCAATGGGGGAAAAACTGTCCTTGTGTCTAGTTGTTCTGGTGTGCAGTGCCCTGTAGCATCATTTTGAGGATAGAAGTTGAAACAATTTATGTCTAGGATGTGTCTGTAGATATTTTCACAGCTCATGCAGTATACAAGTCCTCAGTGGAAGGCAGGTTGGTAGCAACTGTTCTTTTTTTCCTGCAGTTCAAATTATCCATGGAAGTCTGTGTCAGTCTTGTTTGGTTTCAGAGTTCTTCACTGCGTTCTTCAGAACTGTAGAGTGCATGGCTGAAACAGTGGGTGGAGGTCTTTTTCTCTCTCTGACCACTTTGGGGACTCTTTCTGTTTCTTCCAGGCATTCAGCGAGCTATTTTTCGACAGGCCATGCGTCATTGGGAGAAATACACTTGTGTGACCTTCTTGGAACGAAGCGATGAGGATAGCTACATTGTGTTTACATACAGGCCATGTGGGTAAGCAACAGGGAAGACTTCGTCATCCAGTTGATTGCATAAAGTCTTTCTCTGGTACGGAGGAGGAAAACCTTAACACTCTCAAGTCTCAAAGATTGGCCAAGGAATATAAAACATTGCCAATTGCTTCATACATTGGACCACAAGTCAAAGGCTGCTCATCCAGTGTCTGTTGTGTAGACATGTTTGTGTAGACAGAATTTCTGGAAGAACATTTCCAAAAAAAAGGTGAATCAGAGATTGGAAGGATTTGAAACCAAGAAACAGAATCCCAGGAAGAATAACTTAACCTGTCTTTAATTTTGCTCTTGGTAGTCTCTTAACTCTGATATTGACTTTAAAAAAGAAATACAGTCACCTTGAGTTCTCTCTGGCACCATATGAAAGTGGTTAGCTGCAAGTATCTCTATAACAGGTAGGACATGACGCTATCATTAGAAATAGAAGGAAACTTGAAGGAAGTATCAGATTCCAGTCCTCTGTCTTTCTTCCTCCTTCAAGAATAACAATAGAACTTAGACTTATATACTGCTTCATAGTGTTTTACAGCACTCTCTGAACAGCTTACAACAGAATCAGCCTTTTGCCTCCAACAATCTAGGTCCACATTTTTTTTAAAAAAAAGTTGCTCCATGCATGATAATTGAACTTAAATTTATGGTAGCACTAAATTTACAAATCAGTTAAGTTACTTGCTTTCTTTTCCTAGCAGAGGTTCAAAGGCTCTTAACAGCCACCAATAACATTCTTTAAATTACTTTTACTTTGGAATACACTTTTAAATACTCACGTACATATTTATTTGTATTTATCTTTATTTGGGTCGCTTTTCCTGGGGAAAAGCAATTATGAGAAAGGAGAATGTGTCAAAAATGCCTCCAGTTTTGGCCACCACAATATAAAAAAGATGTTGAGACTCTGGAAAGAGTGCAGAGAAGAGCAACCAAGATGATTAGGGGGCTGGAAGCTAAAGCGTATGAACAATGGTTGCGGGGATTGGATATGTCTAATCTCGTGAAAAGAAGGACTAGGGGAAATATGATAGCAGTGTTCCAGTATTTAGGGGATCAAACTATTTTCCAAAGCACCAGAAGGCAAGAGAAACAACAGATGGAAACTAATCAAGGAGACAATCGGCCTAGAATGGAGAAATTTCCTAATGGTAAGAACAATCAACCAGTGGAATGGTTTGCCTTCAGAAGTTGTGGTTGCTCCATCACTGGAGGCCTTCAAGAAGAGACTGTCATTTTCTGAAATGATAGACTCTCTTGCTCGAGTGGGGGATTGGACTAGAGACCGCCAAGGTCCCTTCCAACCCTGTTATTCTATGTTCCAAAAAGTTTACTTTTTAGAAAGGGGGGATAAAAATCTTAAAGAAGTTTGTTCCATGTTTTCTACTTCTTCCATGGTCTTCCTAGAAGTCATGCATTCAACCTAATGCTCATTTGTGTCCAATACAGGTGCTGTTCCTATGTGGGACGCAGAGGTGGGGGACCCCAGGCCATATCTATCGGGAAAAACTGTGACAAATTTGGCATTGTGGTGCACGAGCTGGGCCACGTCATTGGGTTTTGGCATGAACACACACGCCCAGACCGGGATGCTCATGTGTCCATCTTTCGTGAAAATATCCAGCCAGGTAAACGCTTCTCTCTTCTTCTTCGTTTGCATCCTAAATGAATCCTGAAAACCAGACAAAAGTTCTGTATCTTGGAAAACATGAACATCCTCTCCATCCCTTGTCTTTGTAAAATCATGTGCACCTGCATCCATTCCCTTCTATACCTCTTTACAGGTAGTTGTCGAGTTATTTTGTTCATTTAGTAACTGTTCAAACTTGCAACAGCACTGAAAAAAGTGACTTATGACCATTTTTCCATACTCACGACTGTGGTGGGATTCAAACCTTTTTACTATCGGTTCTGTGGGCATAGCTTTGTGGACATGATGTGGCTTTGTGGGCGTGGCAGGGGAAGATACTGCAAAATCCCAATTCCCTCCCCCACCCCACTAACCTGCTTTCCAGCTCCATTCTCCTGTGCAGGACAACCAAAGGAGACCCAGCCAATTAACTGGGACTCGGGAGGCAGAGAAGAGATGGGATTGGCGGGGCCAGTCAGAGGTGGGATTTGCCGGTTTTCTGAACTACTCAAAATTTCCGCTACCGGTTGTCCAGAACTGGTCAGAACCTGCTGAATACCACCTCTGACTCATGACCGTTACAGCATCCTCACAGTCACGTGGTCAAAATTCAGATGCTTGGAAACTCCTTCAAATTTTATATATACGACAGTTGCACTGTCCCAGGTCATGTGGTCACATTTTGTAACCTTCTGTCATGCCCTTGTTAGAGTTGGACTCTTAGGAAGAGGAGGAACAGTTGACAGGGAGTGGTGGTATGGCTCCGGAGGTTGTGGAGGAGACTGTGGAAGAGCAGAGGCCAGCTGGGTAGTCAGAGGAAGAACCAGACCCATCCCCTCTTCATTCTAGGACAGATAGGGAGGAACGGAGAAGGCAACAACTTGGCTTATGAGAGAGGAAGCGGCCCTGATCTCATTGGTTGCAGCTGGGGAGAATAGTATATAAGAGAGACGGTTACAACACAGCATTGCCAAAAGCAAAGCGTGTTTTATTTTGGGCTGACGTAACCTTGGTTGGTGTCCTTCCAACAGACTGTGCTTTGTTATCTTCTTGAAATTGGTAATTACTTATCCTGATCCATTGTGGAAATTCCTTCATTGTAGTTTGTTTTGGCTTTTTATTTCACCTCTTATCTGCTCATTAAGTTCGGACTGTATTGCTTTCTTTCTAAGACTATTTTTGCATAAGTTTTATCTCCAACTGAGAATTATTGAACAATGGGGCCAAGTTGGAGCATTAAAGGACATTTATTTACGTTTTGGATTTTGTTACATTTGTGTTACACTCCAGATCATCACATCTTCTGATAATGCTAAGATCCACTTAATAACTGTGTTACTAACTTAGCAACTGCAGTGAATCATTCAACAGCTGGCACGAAAGACTGTAGAATGGAGCAAAACTCACTTAACAAATGTTTCACTTAGCCACAGAAATTTGGGGCTCAATTGTGGTCAAAAATCAAGGATTGCCTGTACTTCCCTTTCTTACTTGCTTATTCCACCCTCACTACTTTTCCCTCCAAATGCATATTGATGTGTCTGGGGGTTTTCATATTCTTCCAAGATAACTTGCATCCTGCTTGATACCAAGGGAAGTCACCCCTCCTGGAAGAATGAAATATTTTGAGAAATATCAAAAAAGGCAGAATATTCTATTTCCGTAAAGGAGAAACATGCAAAGGCAGAAGCCAGCTCCCTGCCCCCGGCAGATATTTTGGTGCACATTAAGAGAGACTGGGCCAGCCTATCTACAAGACAAAAAATCTCCAGCTCCAGGGTGCTGGGATTAAGACATGATAACTCCAGGACATAATAGGACAGAGGTCTCCAAACTTGGCAATGTTAAGACTTGTGGACTTCAACTCCCAAAATTCTCCAGCCAGCATAGAAATCCGGGAAGTCTACAAGTCTTAAAGTTGCCAAGTTTGGGGACCCCTGTAATAGGATTAACCCAACTAGCAGCAGAGCTCACTGCGGGGCACAATCACCTGGGGACCTTGCATCACTCAGCAAACTTCAACCAAACCTGGGACTCAAGACAACCTACAAAGTTAGCTAAGACCTCTGCAACAGCCAATAGAATACATGTTCTTGCACAGGAACAGGAAGCTCAAGTGCAAAGCCCAAGGGAAGGTATAAATACCCCTCACTCTCAACTCCACGTGGTCAGCTGTGGTTCTGCTTCATCATTAAACCATCTTTCCAACCAGCCTCCATGTTTCCAGTGGAACTCCTGGCTTGGAACTGAACCAGATGGATATTTCTTCCAACAATTCTGTATACTGAAAAGAATTAAGGCAGATTTTCATAGTTGGAAAGAATCCCAGGACTGGCCAAGTGTCAGCTGAATTTGCTTATTTAGTTACGCTGATCCACAAGCACCTAGAGCTGACTCAGCATTTCTTTATTTATCAAATTTTAAAAACTCCCATTTCCCTCCCAGTGCGACTTGGACACTGTACAAATAAAAGATTAAAAACAATACAGGTAGTCCTCAACTTATGACTACAATTGGATCCAGTGTTTCTGTTGCTAGGCAAGGCAATTGTTAAGTGAGTTAGGCCCTGTTTTATGACCTTTTTTTGCCAGAGTGATTAAGTGAATCACTGCAGTTGTTAAGTCAGTAATGTAGTTGTTAAGTGGGCTTCCCCATTGACTTTGTCAGGAGTTTGCAAAAAGCGATCACATGACCCCTGGGACACCACAACTGTCACAAATATATGCCAGTTGCCAAGTGGTCATAAGTGTGAAAAACACTTGTGACTTACATTTTAAATCATTTTTTTTCCAGTGATGTTGTGATGTCATACAACCACTAAACAAAGAACTGTAAGTCAAGGACTACCTGTATATACAATGTAGAAAGAGGCAAGCAATGTTAAAATTAAATGAATGGCAGAGGGCGGATTTTCAGGTGCCCTGAAAATGTGTGTGTGTATGTGTGTGTGTGTGTTCCAGCATAACTCTGGAATGCCTCAAGCAATTTCAACCAAACTTGGTACACAGATGACTTAGTCTCTAGAAACAAATACTATGGGGGTAAAACACCACTAACTTCCCTCACTGTTAAGATACAGCCTGTTGTGCCTTCAAATGGCTTCTACTGTACTGCCTTCAAATGGCTTCTACCATACTGCCTTCAAATGGCTTCTACCGTACTGCCTTCAAATGGCTTTTACTGTACAGTGCTGTGGAGTTGCCATGGTAATGGCTTCACAGTACTCCAGAAGGGGGGTCTCTCTGGTAAGGGGGAAAATACAACATTAGAAATTACGTTTTTTCCAGGTCACCAAAATCAGGGCTTTTCCTGTCTAATAGAGGATTGGGATAAATTAGGATAAATAAAAATACCCAGGCAACTCCGGATTATAGGCTAGTACAATGTAAAAAGAGGCAAGGTTAAAATGAAATGAGAGGCAGAGGGAGGATTTTCAGGGTGCCAACCAGTCCAATGGCTGCAAGCTCCTCTGTGCACCCGAAGCAAGGCTGCAGAACCATGTTTTCGCACCTTTCTGGAAGGCCAGAAAATGGGGACCCTTTGTCTTTGGTTGGGGGAGAAATGTTTCCCACGATAGAGGCAACGGCAGAGAAGGTTCCCTTCCTGCACCCCATCAGTGGGAATTCTTTGACAGGGTCCATCACACACCTTCCCTGCCTGACCAGGTGGGAGGAGCTGATTTAATGGGGCAAAGACAGTTCTGTAGGTATACCTGGTCCCTACGTAAACCTGGTCCCTATTCCATGTAGGGTTATGGGCTCAGATCATTGCTCTGTGTTTTGGGGAATCACACGCAAGAAATCAGAGGTTGCCATTAATAAGCAGGATGGTGCAAGAGAAAACACCGAATCTGCTAACCCTTGGGGGACAATATTTGCTCCAGACCCTCTAAACCAGGAGTGTCAAACTCAATTTCATTGAGGGATGCATCAGGGTTGTGTTTGACTGTGGGGGGGAGGGCGCAGTGTGTGTGTGGCCAGCATGGGCGTGGCCAGCTCGATATCACTCATGCTAGGGGTGCCTGTGGTGGCCCAAGTGCTCTGCCAGTGAAAACGGACTCCTGAGCTCTGTTTTCAGCTTTGACTGCCTCCTGCAACCCTCTACCAGAGCTCCATTTTTGCGGGCAGAGACACCACGGGCCGATCCATTTCTGTTTCCAAGGTGGCCCCATCTAAGCACCCCATGGAACTTATCCAGCCCCTGGGCCTTGAGTTTGACATCCCTGCTCTAAGCTATCTTCCAATTTTCATGCTTCTTCCTCTTGGTCCCTTCTGCAGGGCAGGAGTACAACTTCCTGAAGATGGAACCTGAAGAAGTGGAGTCCTTGGGCGAAACATACGATTTCGACAGCATCATGCACTACGCCAGAAACACCTTTTCCAAGTGAGACTCCCAATTTGTCTTGTTTGACATGTTTGCTCAGCCTATGCCATATTTAGCTTATTTTTCTTCAGCTGAAGGATGACCACAAGTCAGATTAGATTATCTCATGCTTTCATAGCTAAAGCGGGACTAGAGCTCGCTGCTTCCTGCATTCTAGCCTGCTGCCTTAACCACACAACCAAACTGGCTCTAGACTTTATATCTATCTATCTATCTATCTATCTATCTATCTATCTATCTATCTATCTATCTATCTATCATCTCTATCATCTAATCAATTCTTCCTAGCATCTCATCTGTCTCTCTATCCATCTCTATCATCTCTAATCAATTCTATCTATTCAGTTCTTTCTATCTATCTACCTATCTATCATCTATTTAATCTA